CTCCGCCACATCCTTCCAGGAGCACAGCTGTTTTGCAGCACACTTCTCTTTTTCCACCTCTCCCTCCTTCCTCCATGAAACATGATACGGCTTGGCAACCTCTGATTTGGGAAAAAAAAATGCTTGGCGTGTCAAACGGAGGCTTAATGTACAGTTTGACCACTCTTCTTCTTCTTCTTCTTTGTTTGTGAATTTCCATTGCTGCAAAGCCTGCAGCCGGGATTTCAGAGGGATTGCTTCTCCTGCTTCCAATCAGGGTCTCGTTCTTTTTTGACTCCGTATGGTTCTTATTTAATTCAGGGAAGCCATGGAGTATTTTGGAAAACCGTCGGGGAACATTTTCTGTTTTTCTTTACTAGCCGATAGGCAGAGCGGTCAGCGTTATCAATGCGCCCGGCGTCTCTTCTGCCTTTCCATGTTCTTGGTTCTGCTCTCGTCTTTTGGAGAAGTCCTTGGAGGGGAAGCTCCGAAAATTCAGGTAAGGAACTGTAAGACATTATTGTATATTTGCATTTATACTCTGCTTTTGTTCGTTATTCTCAGTGCAAATGTTCGAAGTGCGAGAAAATAAGTGAGTCCCAGGTGTGTCCACACGGTAGGATTAATGCACTTTGACACCACTTTAACTGCCAAGGGTTAATCCTATGGAATCATGTCCATTGTGACAAATGAGTGCCTCAATAAACTACAAATCCCATAACATACCTATAAATATGTACACACACATATATACCCACATCTACACACATAAATGCACACACAGTTTTCCAAACTGCATTAATTCTACAGTGTAGCTGCTTATATATAAATCCACATATTTATACATGGATATTTATCTAGCCACATATATTTATATACCTATAAATACATACATACACCCATATATATGCAATCACATACATACGGTATACCCACACACAGAAATATACACATATACATTTGCATCCATATATATATCCACAAACATATATTTATGTAACTATAACACATACACACATATTAGTAAACACATATATATGGTATACCCACATACATGTGCATATATATACATACACACACATACACTCACACACATGTATATATATACATATATGTACCCACACATATATATCTATAATCATACAAACACATATATGTAACCCCCCACATATACATTTACACCTATACATTTACTCCCATATATATATATATACACACACACACACACACATTTTTATATCTATAATACATACACACACATATATGTAAACACACATATATATGGTATACCCCACACACAAATCTATATACACACATATATTTGTATATCTATAATACATGTACACACATATATGTAAAGACACATATATATGGTATACCCCACACACAAATATATATACACACATATATACACTTTCACACACATATATATACCCACACACATCTATATGCCTATAACAATACGTACACACATATATATGCAATCACATACATATGGATGGCATACCCACACACACAAATACACACACATATACATTTGCACCCATATATATACCCCACACACATATATCTATAATACATACACATATATGTAAACACATACATATATATGGCATACCTACACATACAAATATACACATACACTCACACAGATATACATATATATATACCCACACATATATACATATATATGTATACACATACATATATATATATTGTATGTTTATATTTATTTATTTATTTATTTGGAGCATTTATTAACCGCCATTCTCAGCCCACTCGGGCGACTCACGGCGGTGTACAGTACAAAAGGCAATTCACACAAAGACAAGTACAACAGCATATTAACCATACAACAATACAACAGTTAAAATTACACTAACTAATCCGCTTCGTCTCGTAATAGAATCGTGACCAATCTCGTATTCCTTGTACCATTCCAGTCGTCTTTACCACATTACTATAGCACTTAATTAAATGCCCTCTCGAACAGCCACGTCTTGAGGCTTTTTCGGAAGGACAAAAGAGAGGGCGCCTGCCTGATGTCTGTAGGGAGAGTGTTCCACAACCGGGGGGCCACCACTGAGAAGGCCCTCTCTCTCGTCCCCGCCAGGCGTGCCTGTGAGGCAGGCGGGATCGAGAGAAGGGCCTCCCCAGACGATCTCAAGGTCCTCGTGGGCTCATAGGCCAAGATGCGGTCTGAAAGGTATTTTGGGCCGGAGCCGTTTAGGGCTTTGTAGGCCAACACCAGCACCTTAAATTGGGCCCGGTAGCAAATCGGCAGCCAGTGGAGCTGGGACAACAAGGGTGTTGTGTGCTCCCTGTATCCCGCTCCAGTTAGTAACATGGCTGCCGCACGCTGAACCAGCTGAAGCTTCCGGGCCGTTTTCAAGGGCAGCCCCACGTAGAGAGCGTTGCAGTAGTCAAGCCGGGATGTGACCAGAGCGTGTACCACCGTGGCCAAGTCAGACTTCCCGAGATACGGGCGCAGCTGGCGCACGAGCCGAAGCTGTGCAAATGCTCCCCTGGTCACCGCTGAAACCTGGAGATCCAGGCTCAACGATGAATCCAGGGTCACACCCAAGCTGCGAACCTGCGCCTTCAAGGGGAGTGCGACCCCATCCAGCACAGGCTGTAACCCTATATCCCGTTCGGCCTTGCGACTGACCAGGAGTACCTCTGTCTTGTCTGGATTTAGTTTCAGTTTGTTCGCCCTCATCCAGACCGTCACAGGGGCCAGGCACCGGTTCAGGACCTCGACAGCCTCCTTAGTAGCAGGTGGAAAGGAGTGACAGAGTTGGACATCATCTGCGTACAGATGACACCGCACCCCGAAACTCCGGATGATCTTACCCAGCGGCTTCATGTAGATATTAAACAGCATGGGGGACAGTATGGAACCCTGTGGAACCCCACAAGTCAAAGGTTGTGGGGCAGAACAGGAGTCCCCCAATAACACCTTCTGGGTGCGTCCCTCCAGGAATGAGTGGAGCCACTGCAGAGCAGTGCCCCCAAGGCCCATTTCCACAAGGCGCCCCAGAAGGATACTGTGGTCGACAGTATCGAAGGCCGCTGAGAGGTCCAGGAGCACCAACAGGGACACACTCCCCCTGTCTAGCTCCCGGCGCAGATCATCCACTAAGGCGACCAAGACCGTCTCGGTACCATGTCCCGGTCTGAAACCAGACTGTGCCGGATCCAGAATATCCGTGTCTCTCAAGAATACCTGGAGTTGTGAGGCCACCACGCTTTCCATGACTTTGCCCAAAAAGGGGAAGATTGGAAACAGGCCGAAAGTTGTCGAATTTAGTGGGGTCCAGTGATGGTTTCTTCAACAGCGGTTTTATAATTGCTTGTTTTAAGCACGCTGGAATCTTGCCTTCCCGAAGGGAGGCATTAACCACCACCGTTACCCACTCAGCCAATCCCCCTCTGGCCTCCTTCAGAAGCCAGGATGGGCAGGGGTCTAGGATGGACGTGGTGGGCCTCATTCCTCCAAGTATCTTGTCCACATCCTCGGGTTTCACAAACTGAAAAGAATCCATCAAAATAGGACAAGCAGGTGCTCTTGTTACATCCTCTGAGACTGCATTTAACGCGGCGTCCAGCCCAGAACGGATCAAGGCGACTTTGTCTGCGAAGAACCGAGCAAATGCTTCACAGCGCGTGACCGAATTGTCAGGGCTCCCGCCAGAGGTGGCGGGAGTTAAAAGACCTCTAACAATCCGAAACAACTCCGCCGGACGGTTCTTTGCAGACGCAATAGTGGCCGCAAAGAAAACTTTCTTTGCGGCCTTTATTGCCGCGGCATATGCCCTAAGAAAGGACACAAACCGTGCTCGGTTTGACTCGCTTGGATCCGAACGCCACACGCTCTCTAGTTCCCTCTTCCTTCGCTTCATCACTGCCAGCTCCTCGGTAAACCAAGGGGCTGGTTTAGCTCGGCTACTTGAGAGGGGACGCTCCGGAGCGATCATGTCAATTGCCCTGGTCATCTCCCCATTCCAGAGAGCGACCAAGGCCTCGACATGGTCACCTACCGAGGTGGCAGGAAAATCCCCAAGAGCCGTCAGGAATCCATTCGGATCCATCAGTCTCCTGGGGCGGACCATCTTAGTGGGTCCTCCACCCTTGCAGAGGTTAGGGGGCGCAGTGAGCCTAAATCTGATCAGGAAGTGGTCGGTCCATGGCAACGGAGAGATGGACAACTCCTCCACACCGCCACCCTGCTCCCATCCCTGGCAGAAAACCAAGTCCAATGTATGTCCAGCACAGTGGGTAGGGCCAGTTATTCGTTGGGACAGCCCCATGGTTGCCATGGCGGACATGAAGTCCTGAGCTGCTCCTGTGAGGGTCGCCTCGGCATGGATGTTGAAGTCCCCCAGCACAAGAAGCCGTTGAGACTCCAACCAGGCTCGAGACCACCCCCGCTAGCTCAGGTAGGGAGACTGTAGTGCAGCGAGGTGGACGGTACACTACAAGAATCCCTACTCTGTCCCGGTCACCCACCCTCAGGTGGACGCATTCAAAATTTGTGGTCTGCGGGATGGGACTCCTGGTCAGATGGATGGAATCTCTATAGACCACTGCGACCCCGCCTCCCCGTCCTCCGGATCTCGGTTGGTGCTGTACGGAGAAGCCTGGAGGACAAAGCTGGGTAAGATTTACGCCCCCAGCTTCATCCAGCCAGGTCTCCGTAATGCACGCCAGATCTGCCCGCTCATCCAGGATTAAGTCCTGGATCCAGGTCGTTTTTCCGTTGACAGACCTGGCGTTCAGCAGCACCACCTTCAATCCGGAGGGCCCGCTCACCTGGTTACACCAATATACCTTAGGAGACCGGTTTAGGGTTGTTAATGTTGGTAAGCGGTCCGAATTAAGCCGAATTTGAGGTCTCCTTTTACCGCATCTCCTCCTCCCCACCACGACCTCTATGGGGGCCCCTCGGCTAGTGGAACACCTCCCCTCCTCCATGCTGCAGTCCAGCACCAAGGTCTTATTTCCAATATCGCTCGAAGTTTGGATTGTTGGCCTTTGCCATCTCCCTTGCCTCCCCTCCTCCCCCCTCCCCGCCCCATCCTTGTTCACAGATACATATATATATGGTATTTCCACGCAAATGCACACATGCTCGCATATATATATATCCACACACATATTTATATACCTATATACACACATATACCCATATGTTTATTGACCTATAAATATGTACACACATATATATACCCACGTCTATACACATAAATGCAGACACATTTATTTATACCCCTATGAGGGGCTGAACTCTCTTCCAAAGACGTGTGATGATGGCCTTGTTTGGTCCTTCTTCTTCAAGGAATACGATGGGCTTCCTCCCGGTCTCCCTCGGAGCATCCGCTCCTTCCCTCCTCGTCCGCACATCCGGAAGAAGCGCTACACCCTGACCCCGGGGCATCTCAAGTGGGACCACTTCAACCTCACCTACAAGTAAGGAGGCCTCACCTTCTGAGACCTCACAAAGAGAGGAATACACCAAGGTTGGCCTAGAATTTGGTCCTATGTCTGTCCTTGTTCTCCTCCCTTGCAGGATCTTGTCTTTCCCCAGAAACCTCATCAACGAGAGCCAGACCAGGAAAGGGCTGGCGGCCGCTTTCCGGATGTGGAGTGACGTGACACCTTTCGTCTTCCGGGAGGTGCCTCCGAGTCAAGAGAGCGACCTCAAAATCGGTAGAGTTGCATTTCATGGAGTAGGAAGGGAGACACAAATTGGGGCATGGGGGGGGGGGAATCTCAGGTTGTCCACACTTATTGCAGTCCAGGTAGGTAGGTAGGTAGGTAAACAGACATGTAGGTATGCAGATAGATAGATGAATGGATAGGTAGATAGTAGGTAGACAGGTAAATAGATAGATAGGATAGATAGGATAGATACATGCACACATGTAGGTATGCAGATGGATGGATGGATAGGTAGATAGTAGGTAGACAGGTAAATAGATAGGATACACACACACACATGTAGGTATGCAGATAGATGGATGGCTAGGTAGATAGTACATAGGTAAATAGATAGGATAGATACACAGACACGTAGGTATACAGATGCATGGATAGGTATATAGGTAGACAGGTAAATAGATAGATAGGATAGATATACACACACATAGGTATGCAGATAGATGGATGGATGGATAGGTAGATAGTAGGTAGACAGGTAAATGGATAGATAGGATAGATACACAAACACGTAGGTATGCAGATGCATGGATAGGTAGATAGGTAGACAGGTAAATAGATAGATAGGATACACACACACACGTAGGTATGCAGATGGATGGATAGGTAGAAAGACAGGTAAATAGATAGATAGGATACACACACACGTAGGGATGCAGATCCATGGATATGTAGATAGGTAGACAGGTAAATAGAAAGACAGGATAGATACACACACACATAGGTATGCAGATAGATGGATGGATAGATAGGTAGATAGTAGGTAGACAGGTAAATAGATAGATAGGATACACACACGTAGGTATGCAGATAAATGGATGGATAGGTAGATAGCACATAGACAGGTAAATAGATAGCTAGGGTAGATACACACACACATAGGTATGCAGATGGATGGATAGGTAGATAGTAGGTAGACAGGTAAATAGATAGGATAGATACACACACATAGGTATGCAGATAGATAAATAGGATAGATAGATACGCAAACACGTAGGTATGCAGACAGATACATAGGATAGATACACAAACACGTAGGTATGCAGATAGATAGATGCGTAGGTAGGTAGGTACATACGTATGCAGATAGATAGACACACAGGAAGACAGGTGGACAGATAGTTAGGAAGGAAGGGTACACTCGTAGGTATGCAGATAGATAGATAGATAGAGGCGTAATCAGATAGATAGATATGCACATAGGTATGCAGATGGATAGGACACATACGTAGGCAGGCACAGACAGATAGGTAGACAGGTAGAAACGTAGGTATGCAGATAGATAGATAGATAGATAGATAGATAGATAGATAGATAGATAGATAGACAGACAGACACATAGGTAGGCAGATAGGTAGATAATATGCACATAGGTTTGCAGATAGATGGATACACATGTAGATGAGACACTTGCATTGTTGTAAGCTGCCCAAGTCCCCTTGGGGAGATGGTGGTGGGGTATAGATAAAGTTTTATATTATCATTATTATTATTATTATTATTATTATTATTATTAAAGTGCAACGTGGCGGCCGTTTCCCATATGCTTCCTACTCCTTTCCTTTTGTCCTTCTTCCCCTTAGGTTTCTATCCCATCAACCACACAGACTGCCTGGAGTCCCAGATCCACCACTGTTTCGACGGCATAACGGGGGAGCTGGCGCATGCGTTCTTCCCGCAGACGGGCGAGATCCATTTCGACGACCACGAATATTGGATCCTGGGAGACACGCGGTTCAGCTGGAAAAAGGGTAACAAGGAGCCACGCCCGGAAGGCTCTGCAATCTGGAACAAGGGCTGGCATGGCTGCCACGCACAGCTCCGTTTCCCACACCAACATTCAAACCAATACACTAGAGCCAAAGTCCAAGACTCAAACCAATAGAGCAATACGTCACAGGTCTCAATCTCATACCAATGCGCAAATGTACCCTTGCGCCATAGTCCCATAGGTTAAATCAGTCTGCCAACTTGCCAATGCCATAGCCCCATAGGTAGACCAGTGTGCCAACATACCAATATGGTCAGCCTCTCTATAGTGTTCTCAACTTGGGGGTTGCGACCCCTAGAGGGGTCGATCTGGTGTTGGAGAGGGGTCGCACCACCTCCTTTAGCCAACATACCAATATGGTCAACCTCTCCATAGTGTGCATTTGATATATTTCTGTCAGTTCTCAACTTGGGGGTTGCAACCACGAGAGGGGTCGATCTGGTGTTGGAGAGGGGTCGTGCCACCTCCTTTAGCCAACATACCAATATGGTCAACCTCTCCATAGTGTGCATTTGATATATTTCTGTCAGTTCTCAACTTGGGGGTTGCGACCACGAGAGGGGTCGATCTGGTTTTGGAGAGGGGTCGTGCCACCTCCTCCTTCGTCCTCGTTTTGGGCTGTGCTTTTAAGCACGAAAAAGGCTGTGTTTGGCTTTCCTTGTGGTTTCTTGCAAAAAGAAACCAGATCTGTTTACATTTTGTGTTGCTTGCTGGCACCAGCATAGTCAAACGTGGTCGTTTTGTGGACAAGCAGAGGCGCCCTTCTCCTTAAGGAGAGAGGCTTTCTTAAGTACGAAATGCCATGTTGTCTTGCTTTGACAGCGATGAGCAAGGCTTCGGAAAACTACTGTTTATTTAGGAAAAGATAGAAAGCACGATGGCCCGATGCAGTTCCAACTACTTTCTGAAACTGCATGATAGGTATTTCTTTAAAAATCTTTATCGAATTACTGTTCCCGAAACCCAGAAGAATGAATATCACTGGCCAACTCACATATAGGTGCCTCCAATGTTCGCCCTGTTTCTGGATGTACCGTATATACTCGAGTATAAGCCGACCCAAATATAAGCCGAAACACCTAATTTGACCTCAAAAAAACTAGGAAAACTTATTGACTCGAGTATAAGCCGAGGGTGGGAAATGCAGCCGTGAATTGTAAATTTCAAAATAAAAATAGATACTAATAATATTACATTAATTTTTGAGTTGGGCTGCATTGTACTGTTTTTTATAATACTAATAGAAATTTATAATACTAATAGAATACTAATTTTTGGTCGGGCTGCATTGTAATATTATTATTTTGGGGTTGGCCTATGTAATAGTAATAATAATAATAATAATAATAATAATAATAATATTTTTGAGTTGAGCTGTGTTATTATTTATAATACTGTTTATTGGTCAGGCTGCATTGTAATAATAATAATAATAGGGTCATAATTGTAATAATGTATAATATATAATATATAATATATAATGTATAATATATATATTAGTATTATAAAAAACAGTACAATGCAGTCCAACTCAAATATACTATTATTATATTACTAATAGAAATTTATAATACTAATAGAATACTAATTGTAATATTATTTTGGGGTTGGCCAATGTAACAATAATAATGATAATAATAATAATAATAATAATTATTATTATTATTATTATTATTTTGAGTTGAGCTGTGTTATTACTTATACTACTGTTTATTGGTCAGGCTGCATTGTAATAATAATAATAATAATAATAATAATAATAATAATAATAATAATAATAATAATTTGAAACACCAGAAGATGAGTCCACAGCAGACACTCTGCTGGCTGTTGAATTGGATCCCACATCGGACATAATAATAATAGTAATAATAATAATAATAATAATGATCATCATCATCATCATCATCTGAACAGTTTTGTTACGTGCAGTGATTTTAGCCTTGCTCTAACACTGATGCCAGGACATGGCTAACGCATGGCTCTGCTCTCAGGGGTGTGGCTGACGGACCTGGTGCACGTGGCGGCCCACGAGGTGGGCCATGCGCTGGGACTCATGCACTCCCTGGACCCCAACGCCCTCATGCACCTCAACGCCACCTTGACCGGGAAGAACACCATTTCGCAGGACGAGATGTGGGGGATCTACCGGCTGTATGGTAAGCACGACTGCGAGGAAGACCCTTAGGACATGCCTTCTTCCAAGATGTGAACCTGAACCCCTCTAATGTCAGCGTCTCCCCTTTCAGGGTGCAAAGACAGGCTGTTCATCTGCCCGTCCTGGCTTCGCAAAGGATACTGCCGGACGCGGAGGAGGTTCATGGCAAAGCACTGTCCGTACAGCTGCGACTTCTGCCTGGGTAATAATGCCCGCACTGGGCTTCCTGCCTATGTTCTTCTGGTATTCCGTGTCTTGGACTCCCAAATGGTTCATCAACAGATTCCCAATGCAACCTTCTGAATGTCTCATTTCCTCTCGTCTCCTCCCACTTTCCTTAATTCAAAGTGGCGTTTGGATCAGTACAGAGGAAGAGACCATCCATGGGCAAACCAGTCCAGCCCCTGGACTGGTTTGCCCTTGGATGGTCTCTTCATATCATAGTTGGAAGGGACTCCAAGGGACATCCAACCTCTCTAGATGATAGATAGATAGAAGAGATCCCAAGGGCCACCCAACCCCTTTAGGTGATAGATATAGATAGCTAGATAGAGATGGATTCCTAGAGTTGGAAGGAACCTCAAGGGCCACCCAACCCCTTTAGATGACAGAGATGGATGGATGGATTTCCAGAGATGGAAGGGACCTCACTGGGCAATCCAACTGCATTAGCTGATAGATTGGTTGATTGAGATGTATGGATGGATTCCCAGAGCTGGAAGGGACCCCAAGGGCCACCAAACTCCTTTAGATGATAGAGATGGATGGATGGATTTCCAGTTGGAAGAGACCCCAAGGTCCATCCAACTCCTTTAGATCATATATTGATTGAGATGAATGGATGGATACGTGGATGGATTTCCAGAGTTGGAAGGAACTCCAAGGGCCATCCAACTCCTTTAGATGATAGAGATGGATGGATGGATGGATTCTCAGAGTTGGAAGGGACCCCATGGGCCATCCAACCCTTTTAGATTATAGATATCGGATATAGATAAATAGCTAGATAGAGATGGATGGATTCCTAGTTGGAAGGGACCCCAAGGATCATCCAACTCCTTTAGATGATAGAGATGGATGGATGGATTCCCAGTTGGAAGGGACCCCAAGGGCCATCCAACCCCTTTAGATGATGATGGATGGATGGATTTCCAGAGTTGGAAGGAACTCTAAAGGCCATCCAACTCCTTTAGATGATAGATAGATTGATTGAGATGGATGGATTCCTAGAGTTGGAAGGGACCCCAAGGGCCATCCAACCTCTTCAGATGATAGAAATGGATGGATTCTCAGAGTTGGAAGGGACCCCAACAGCCATCCAGCCCATTTAGATGATAGAGATGGATGGATTCCCAGAGTTGGAAGGGACCACAAGGTCCATCCAACCTCTTCAGATGATAGAGATGGATGGATGGATTCCTAGAGTTGGAAGGGACCCCAAGGGCCATCCAACCCCTTTAGATGATAGAGATGGATGGATTCCCAGAGTTGGAAGGGACCCCAAGGGCCACCCAAACTCTTCAGATGATAGAGATGGATGGATGGATTCCTAGAGTTGGAAGGGACCCCAAGGGCCATCCAACCCCTTTAGATGATAGAGATGGATGGATTCCCAGAGTTGGGAAGGACCCCAAGGGCCACCCAACCTCTTCAGATGATAAAGATGGATGGATTCTTACAGTTGGAAGAAACTCCCAAGGATCACCCAACCTCTTTACATGATAGATATGAGATGGATGGATTCTTAAGAGTTGGAAGGAACCTCAAGGGCCATCCAGTCCAACCATGCAGGAAAAACACAATCAAAGCCCTCCCAACAGATGCCCATCCTCTGCTGAAACACCACCATATTGAAAGGAAAGTTATTCCATTGCTGAACAGCAATTACCACCAGGAAGTTCTTCCTAATGTTTAGGTGGAAGCTCTCCCCCTGAAGTTTGAATTCCCTTCTGCTTTTGTACCGACAAGGATCACAAGGGCAAACAGACGCCTGGGGAACGCCATGCCTGGAATGCTGTGCCAGAGCCAAAATTGCTCTTATTCTAATATTTTGGAAGAGAGAACGGCCCTATTTAGCATTCCTTACTGTCTTCCTGATTGCGTTGCCGAAGGAAATCTGGAGAAAGTATATATTAGGGCTTTTAAAATTTTACATTCTCAGTGGCATAGTAATAATAATGATGATGATGATCTATATAAATAAAAATGTCATGTTCGTTTGTGGGATTAACAGAACTCAAAAACCACGGGGGCAATTGACACCAGATTTGGACACAATACCCCGAACAACCCAACGTATGTCCATCACCCAAAAAAACAACGAAAACAAAAAGCAGAAAGGACTTCTAAACTGCATGTCCACAAAGAGACCCATGGCCATGACCCCTCCTCCTCCTCCACGGCCACACACGCACACACACGCGAGAGTGGAAGTGGAGGCTTGCCGCATGGAGCCCCTTCTCTTTCCCTGCTATGTCAGGAGGGTGGTCTCCTCCTCCTCCTCCTCCTTTCCCTGTTGGAAGAGGAAGGGGCGGATGAGTGGCAGCGGCAGTAGCAGCGGACCCCCAGGCAAGGAAGAAGGGGAGGAGGAGGAAGAGGAGGCGAGGAAGGTCGATGGTGCTTGAATGAAGGACCTTCCTTCTCTCTCTCCCTCACTCCCTTCCCTCCTTTTCTCCCTTTCCTTCCTTCTTTCCTCCCTTTCTTTTCTTCCTTCCTTCCTTCTCCTTCCTTTCCTTCTTTCCCTCCTTCCTGTCCCTCCTTCCTTCTTTCCTGCCTCCCTTTCCTCCTTCTTTCCCTTTCTTCATTTCCTTCCCTCCCTCCTTTCTTCATCCCCCTCCTTCCTTCCTTCTCCTTCCTTCCTGTCCCTCCTTCTTTCTTTTCCTTCCTTCCCTTCTTTCCCTCGCTCCCTTTTTCCTTTCTTCCTGTCCCTCCTTCTTTCTATGTAAGATATAAATACAATATTAAATGGAAGAGACAGTCAAGAAGTAACGAGAGAAGGAGGGGACAAAGGGAAGGAATGAAGGAGGGAAAGGGGGAAGGAAGGGAGGAAGGAGAGAAGGAGGGAGGGAAAGAAGGAAAGTAAGTAAGTTAGAGAAGCAAGGAAGGAGAGAAGGAAATAAAAAAGTGAAAGGAAAAAGAGGGAAGGAAGGAGAGGAGGAACGAGATAGGGAAGGAGGGAAAGGAGGAAGGAGAGAAGGAGGAAGAGAAAGAAGGAACGAAAGTAAGTTAGAGAAGCAAGGAAGGAGAGAAGGAAATAAAAAAGTGAAAGGAAAGAGAGGGAAGGAAGGAGAGGAGGAACGAGATAGGGAAGGAGGGAAAGGAGGAAGGAGAGAAGGAGGAAGAGAAAGAAGGAACGAAAGTAAGTTAGAGAAGCAAGGAAGGAGAGAAGGAAATAAAAAAGTGAAAGGAAAGAGAGGGAAGGAAGGAGAGGAGGAACGAGATAGGGAAGGAGGGAAAGGAGGAAGGAGAGAAGGAGGAAGAGAAAGAAGGAACGAAAGTAAGTTAGAGAAGCAAGGAAGGAGAGAAGGAAATAAAAAAGGGAAAAAGAGAGGGAAGGAAGGAGAGGAGGAACGAGATAGGGAAGGAGGGAAAGGAGGAAGGAGAGAAGGAGGAAGAGAAAGAAGGAACGAAAGTAAGTTAGAGAAGCAAGGAAGGAGAGAAGGAAATAAAAAAGTGAAAGGAAAGAGAGGGAAGGAAGGAGAGGAGGAACTAAAGATAGGGAAGGAAGGAAGGAGAGGAGAGAAGGAGGGAGAGAAAGAAGGAAAGAAAGAAAGGTAGAGAAGCAAGGAAGGAGAGAAGGAAATAAAAAAGTGAAAGGAAAAAGAGAGGGAAGGAAGGAGAGAAGGAACGAAAGATAGGAAGGAAGGAAGGAAGGAAGGAAGGAGAGAAGGGAGGATGCAACCAAAGAGAAAGGAAAGGGAGGAAAGAAACAGGAAGAGATGGAAGAAAGAAGAAAAATAGGGAAAGGAAGGAAAGAGGGAAGGAGAGAAAGAGGGAGAGAAGGTTGACCACAGCAACACATGGCGGGTACAGCTAGTAATAATAATAATAATAATAATAATAATAATAATAATAATAATCTTTATTTATACCCCGCCACCCTCTCCCCAATGGGGGCTCGGGGTGGCTAGTATAGTATATATAATATATAGTATATATAGTATAGTATTGCAAAAATAGGGGAACAAGAACAGAAATAAGTCAAAAACATAACCACGTTAATTGCACATTTCCATGACACCGACGCTCCCATTTGTGGATTTGATCACTGACATCTTTGATTGACAGGTGCCAGATTTGTAACATTCAGCTGACTATCTTTTGCATTTTGTCGTTGCTTTGTCAATGCCAGATTTCCCTTTCCCGACGGTGGCTCCGACCGCTCTGCCTCCCAGGATGAAAACAAGGCTCGTCCCTGAAGGAAGGAACGTCACCTTCCAGTGCGGACGCAAGATCACCCACAAAAAGGGCAAAGTGTAGTAAGTATTTCCCCAAATGCCTCAACTGTCGGCTTGTATGAATACAGATGAGAGAGAGAGAGAGATTTCCTGAAAAAGTCAGGAAATCATATCATTACGTACTACGATTTTTGTTTCTGAGCTATAAATGTCACCCCAAGTTTGCCTTTGCCTGCTTCAAAAGAACATGAGGAAGAACTTCCTGACTGTGAGAACCGTTCAGCAGTGGAACTCTCTGCCCCGAGAGTAGGGACGCCGGGGGGGGGGGGGGGGGGGGGGGGGGGGGGGGTCATATGGGGTTGCCAGAGACCATCCGAAAACATATTATTTTCTGTTGGTCATGGAGGTTCTATGTGGGAAATTTGGCCCAATTCTATTGTCGGTGAGGTTCAGACTGCTCTTTGATTGTAGGTGAACTATAAATCCCAGCAACTACAACTCCCAAATGTCAAGGTCTATTTCCCCCAAAACTCTACCAGTGTTCACATTTGGGCATATTGAGTATTCATGCCAAGTTTGGTCCAGATCCATCATGCAGTAAGAGCACCTAAAACTTCAGAGAGCTTCTGTTCAACCATTTCAAAGCTCCCTGCTTGAGCGGTGATGGCATGATCATCAGCGTAGATGAAACTCTCTGTCCCTTCTGGCAGTGGCTGATCATTTGTGTCAATGTTAAACATTGATGGAGCAAGTACTCTCTCTTGAGTTGGGCCATTCTTCTGTTTCCGTCATCTGCTTCTCAACAAAAAAGCTCCTGTTTTGAAGCAATGTTAATCATTGATGGAGCAAGCTTCGGAGAGCTTTTCTTCAACCATTTCAAAGCTCCCTGCTGGGGCGGTGATGGCACGATCATCAGCATAGATGAAACTCTCTGTCCCTTCTGGCAGTGGCTGGTCATTTGTGTACATGTTAAACATGGATGGAGCAAGATTTGGAGAGCTTCTGTTCAACCATTTCAAAGCTCCCTGCTTGAGCGGTGATGGCATGATCGTCAGCATAGAAGAAACTCTCTGTCCCTTCTAGCAGTGCCTGGTCATTTGTGTACATGTTAAACACTGATGTTACAAACTGGTTTCCCTGTGATATGCAGTGAGAACACCTAAAGCTTCAGAGAGCATGATTTCAACCATTTCAAAGCTCTCTGCTTGAATGGTGATGGCATGATCGTCAGCATAGATGAAACTCTCTGTCCCTTCTGGCAGTGGCTCATCATTTGTGCAAATGTTAAACATGGATGGAGCAAGCTTTGGAGAGCTTCTCTTCAACCATTTCAAGCTCCCTGCTTGAGTGGTGATGGCACGATCGTCAGCATAGATGAAACTCTGTCCCTTCTGGCAGTGGCTGGTCATTTGTGTAGATGTTGAACGTGGATGGCGCAAGCACGCTCCCCTGAGGCAGGCCGTTCTTCTGTTTCCGCCATCTGCTTCTCTGGCCCTGGAACTCAACAAAAAAGCTCCTGTTTTGTAGCAATGTTCAACATGGATGGAGCAAGCTTTGGAGAGCCTCTCTTCAACCATTTCAAAGCTCCCTGCTTGAGTGGTGATGGCATGATCGTCTGCATAGATGAAACTCTCCGTCCCTTCTGGAAGTGGCTGGTCATTTGTGAAAATCGTAAACATAAACATCCAATAAGTATATTGAAATTGTGGGAATGCAATGTATGGGGACACAACCTATCTACTGAGAAACTCTCTTTTTATTAGTCAAAATATATGATTGATTGCTAATTTTACATAAACGGGTTACATTTGCATAACACACTGCGGCTGACGCATGAATATGTCGCAACACACAGCTTGGAAAGTTCCAGCTGGACGGAAACTTAAGAGAATGCTTTGTTCCTTTGCGTAACCCAACAGCCATTTTTTTTTCTCATCTAGATGACCAGCGAGTAGAAACCAACTCAGATTAAATTCCAGACAAAAAGAGGGCGAATTTATCACAGAGGAAGAATGTGCTCTTTGCTCAGACAAAATATGGCATTTCCTACATTTTTAAAGTAATTTTCCTTGTCACACAGAACTCTCACGACCAACAGAAAATACTGGAAGGGTTTGGTGGGCATTGACCTTGACTTTGGGAGTTGTAGTTCATCTACATCGCGAGAGAACTGTGGACTCAAAACAATGATGGATCTGGACCAAACTTGGCACGAATACAATATGCCCAAATGTGAATACTGGTGGCGTTTGGGAAAAATAAACATTTGGGAGTTGTAGTTTCTGGGATTTATATTTCACCTACAATCAAAGAGCATTCTGAACTCCACCAATGATGGAATTGAACCAAACTTGGCACACAGAACTCCCATGACCAACAGAAAATACTGGAAGGGTTTGGTGGGCATTGACCGTGAGTTTTGGAGTTGTAGTTCACCTACATCCAGAGAGCACTGTGGACTCAAACAATGATGGATCTGAACCAAACTCTACACGAATACTCAATATGCCCAAATGTGAAAACTGGTGGAGATTGGGAAAAATAAACATTTGGGAGCTGTAGTTGCTGGGATTTATAGTTCACCTACAATCCAAGAGAATTCTGAACTCCACCATCCAGTCCAACCCCATTCTGCCAAGAAGCAGGAATATTGCATTCAAATCACCCCTGACAGATGGCCATCCAGCCTGTTTCAAAGCTTCCAAAGAAGGAGCCTCCACCACACTCCGGGGCAGAGAGTTCCACTGCTGAACGGCTCTCACAGTCAGGAAGTTCTTCCTCATGTTCAGATGGAATCTCCTCTCTTGTAGTTTGAAGCCATTGTTCCACGTCCTAGTCTCCAAGGAAGCAGTAAACAAGCTTGCTCCCTCCTCCCTGTGGCTTCCTCTCACATATTTATACATGGCTATCATATCTCCTCTCAGCCTTCTCTTCTTCAGGCTAAACATGCCCATCTCCTTAAGCCGCTCCTCATAGGGCTTGTTCTCCAGACCCTTGATCATTTTATTTGCCCTCCTCTGGACACATTTAGCCTGTAGAAGAGAAGGCTGAGAGGAGATATGATAGCCATGTATAAATATGTGAGAGGAAGCCACAGGGAGGAGGGAGCAAGCTTGTTTTCTGCTTCCTTGGAGACTAGGACGCGGAACAATGGCTTCAAACTACAAGAGAGGAGATTCCATCTGAACTGTATCTGTATTGTGGCCCGTTCAGCAGTGGAACTCTCTGCCCAGGAGTGTGGTGGAGGCTCCTTCTTTGGAAGCTTTTAAGCAGAGGCTGGATGGCCATCTGTCAGGGGTGATTTGAATGCAATATTCCTGCTTCTTGGCAGAATGGGGTTGGACTGGATGGCCCAGGAGGTCTCTTCCAACTCTAGGATTCTAGGATTCTATGATTCCTCTGGACACATTCCAGCTTAGTGTCAATATCTCTCTTGAATTGTGGTGCCCAGAATTAGACACAATATTCCAGGTAAAGTGGTCTAACCAAAGCGGAATAGAGAGGTAGCATTCCTTCCTTAGATCTAGACACTATGCTCCTCTTGATGCAGGCCAACATCCCATTGGCTTTTTTTGTCGCCACATCACATTCCTGGCTCATGTTTAACTCGTTGTCCACGAGGACTCCACGATCTTTTTCACACGTACTGTCGTGACTCAGGGCCCAAAGATTGTCCAACACAGCAAGTAAGGGTTAACAAAGTCTTTAATGAGTCTCTAACAAAGCTAACAGCACTTAAACAGCAGTGCTAATTAGCAAAACAAAAAGGCCTTCAAGCAGGTAAACAAAGGAGGGGAAAAGCCGGATTATCTCAGAACTCAGTCACTCAAAAAGGAAAGCTGGAGCAAAAACTAGCGATGGCAAAAGCGAAGTCAAACAGTCCTTGGTCAAACACGGAGAAAGGCAGCAAACCAAGTCCAGTAGGCAGATGGCGTGGTCCAGGAACGTTCCGAAGTCACTCACGTGGTCCAGTCCAGAGTCAAGGCACACGAAGACACGATAGCTGTATTCCCAGCACCCAAACGGAGGTAAGGCAGCACAAAACACCCGATACAACGCTTTGTCCTCTGCAAAGCTACACATCCCAAAGCCCCCATTTTATTAGCAATCGCTATCGCTAGATTGACTATCATCACTAGCATCTGGGTCATTTCCTTCAGCTGCTGGCTCGTTACTTCGCCATCGCTGCCAGCGTTGATCCAATCCAGGATCCTGCCAAGATGTACCTGCCTGCCATGTATCTTGGAACCCCTCAAACTCGTCGCTCGACGTGGGCTGTGTACATATGTCCTGAATTTCTCTAACACGAGTCCAGTCCAGTCCCTCTTCCATTTCCCCATCACCGGCTCCCAGTTCATCTGAACTGGAATTGTCGGCTGTATCTTTAAGCCTCTTACTCAGGGGTCTTCAAACTAAGGCCCGAGGGCCGGATACGGCCCTCCAAGGTCATTTACCCGGCCCTCGCTCAGGGTCAACCTAAGTCTGAAACAGCTTGAAAGCACACAGCAACAACCCTATCTCATCAGCCAAAAGCAGGCCCACACTTCCCACTGAAATACTAATAAGTTTATATTTGTTAAAATTGTTCTTCATTTTAATTATTGTATCGTTTTTAAGTGTGTTTTTTTGCACTACAAGTAACATATGTGCAGTATGCATAGGAATTCATTCATATTTTTTTTCAAATTATAATCCGGCCCCCCAACAATTTGAGGGACTGTGACCTGGCCCTCTGTTTAAAAAGTTTGAGGACCGCTGCTCTTACTTATGACTTCCTCATCACTGTCAGACTCACAGGCAAAGCGCTTTACTCCCCTGTAATCTAATTCCTCTAAGTCTTTGGGTCCAAACCCTGCAAAATCTTCCGAGTCACTAGGTGCCAAAATAATCTCCCGAATGCGTTTCAGCTGGCGCTGATCCAGCTCTAACTCAGCATCACTCCTCCTCCTCCTACAACTAGTAGTAGGTTCACTGCCAGGACGGTGAGCCTCAACACGTACTGCTCTCGAGCCAGGCCTTGTCCCCCATTTTATACCTTTGCATTACAATGCATGCACAAAACCAAATATATATGTGCAAACACACATATACACAAATATATACACACACATTAGTAGATAAATAATGTTGTAGCAGCACCATTGGAGACCTCCAACCAGGTGGACCACCGTAATGCCTGCTTTCTCTCTTCCCTTCTTCCCTTTCCAACCATGCAGTTGGTACAAAGAGAAGGAGCAGCTGGAATATTCCTACCCAGGCTACCTTTTCCTGAACGAGGGCCAGATGAGCATCATCGCCAACGCCATCAATGAGGGAACCTACACGTGCATCGTGAAGAAGAAGGCCAAGGTCCTGACCACCTACTCCTGGAGAATCCGGCTGAAGCAATAGCTTCAAAACCTACACCGAGTTGGACTTCTTCTTCCTCCTTCTCAAGATGGATGTGTTTTCTTTCCATCCCATAATGGACAAAGACACTTGAACCTTCTCAACCCAAAGGTATGAGGGTTGAATGAAAAGTAATGCCTCCACCTTCGTGACTTGGGTTTGGATGGGAATATTTTAATAAATCAAACGCAGAAATACTCTTTAGAATGTGCTCTTTAACTACCACAATTTCAACAAGTAGATAATTAATCAATTGTGTGTGTATATATATATATACACACAAAATAAAACAAACACACACACACATATATTTATGTATAAAATAAAGTTTGAAATAATAGTGAACTAAACTAATAATAATAAATAAATAAAAGAAAAAAATAAAACACACACACATATATTTATATTTATATATATAATAAAGTTTGAAATAACAATAAAAACTAAGCTAATAATAATAAATAAAAGAAAAAAATAAAACACACATATATTTATATATATAATAAAGTTTGAAATAATAATAAAAACTAAACTAAAATAATAATAATAATTAATAAATAAAAGAAAAAAATGAACACACACACACACATATATAATAAAGTTTGAAATAATAATAATAAAAACTAAACTATAATAATAATAATAATAATAAATAAAACACACACACATATATTTATATATATACATAATAAAGTTTGCAATAATAATAACTAAACTAAAATAATAATAATAATAATAATAAAAGAAAATAAAACACACACACATATTTATATATATATAATAAAGTTTGAAATAATAAAAACTAAACTAAAATAATAATAATAAGAAAAAATAAAAGAAATAATAAAAACTAAAATAATAATAAGAAAAGAAAAGAAAAAATAAAACGAACACACACACACATATATAATAAAGTTTGAAATAATAATAAAAACTAAACTATAATAATAATAATAATAAATAAAAGAAAAAAATAAAACACACAAACACATATTTATATATATAATAAAGTTTGAAATAATAATAAAAACTAAACTAAAATAATAATAATAATTAATAAATAAAAGAAAAAATAAAACAAACACACACACACACATATATAATAAAGTTTGAAATAATAATCATAAATACTAAACTATAATAATAATAATAATAATAAAAAATAAAACACACACACATATATTTATATATATACATAATAAAGTTTGCAATAATAATAACTAAACTAAAATAATAATAATAATAAAAGAAAAAAAATAAAACACACACACATATATTTATATATATAATAAAGTTTGAAATAATAATAAAAACTAAACTAAAATAATAATAATAATTAATAAATAAAAGAAATAATAAAAACTAAAATAATAATAAGGGGAAAAAGAAAAAAAGAAAAAAATACACACCAAAAACCAAATTTAAAAAAAGGAAAAAATCCAAAAAAAAATAAAAAAAAAATCAAAAAGTCAAAACTACAAAAATACAAAAATTTAAAAAAGACAAAAAAGAAAAAAGAAAACAAAAAGTGGACTCCCTTCTGATTCAGCTCACATAAGAGGGAAATAAAAAACCTAAAAAATGAAAATAATAATAAATTAATAAAATAAAAAGAAAAAAAATTAAAAACAAACAACAACAACACATGAAACAACAATAAAATATATAAAGTTTTTTATATTATCAGTTTTCATAAAATATAATAATAATAAAATAAAATAATAATAATAATAATAAAAATAAAAAACAAATATAAAATATAATATATAAAATAATTAAAAAAATAAATAATAATAAATAAAATAATAATAAATAATAAAAAATAATAATAAAAAATAAAAAAACAAAATAAAACATTTTTTTTAAAACATCGTAAAAAGTTTTTTTTTGAAAATGATAAATAAAAAAAAAACTAAAACTAAAAAATAAATAATAATAATTTTTAGATAAAAAAAAAGAAAAACTAAAAAAAACCTAAAAAATTAAGAATAAGAAAAAAAAAAAAGAAAAAAAAAAGAAAAAATAAAACGAACACACACACATATATATAATAAAGTTTCAAATAATAATAATAATAACTAAACTAAAATAATAATAATAATAAAAAGAAAAAAATAAAACACACACACATATATTTATATATATAATAAAGTTTGAAATAATAATAAAAACTAAACTAAAATAATAATAATAATTAATAAATAAAAGAAATAATAAAAACTAAAATAATAATAAGAAAAGAAAAGAAAAAATAAAACGAACACACACACATATATATAATAAAGTTTGAAATAATAATAATAAAAACTAAACTATAATAATAATAATAATAATAAATAAAAGAAAAAAATAAAACACACAAACACATATATTTATATATATAATAAAGTTTGAAATAATAAAAACTAAACTAAAATAATAATAATAAGAAAAGAAAAAATAAAACAAACACACACACACACATATAATAAAGTTTGAAATAATAATCATAAATACTAAACTATAATAATAATAATAATAATAAAAAATAAAACATACACACATATATTTATATATATACATAATAAAGTTTGCAATAATAATAACTAAACTAAAATAATAATAATAATAAAAGAAAATAAAACACACACACACATATTTATATATATATAATAAAGTTTGAAATAATAATAAAAACTAAACTAAAATAATAATAATAAGAAAAGAAAAGAAAAAATAAAACAAACACACACACATATATATAATAAAGTTTGAAATAATAATAAAAACTAAACTATAATAATAATAATAATAATAAATAAAAAGAAAAAACCTGTTTCCAACACCTTCCTGCAATATTATCAATATTTAACCAAACTTACCACCCGAAATACCAATTTTTTTAAAAAAATTAAAGCTGACAATAGAGATATATACAAAGAGATTGAAAGAAGATCTTAAAGCCAACCTTAAAAACTGTGGCATAGATACCGAGAACTGGGAAGCCCTGGCCCTTGAGTGCTTTAACTGGAGGTCAGCTGTGACCAGCAGTGCTGGAGAATTCGAAGATGCACGAATAGAGGGTGAAAGGGAGAAATGTGTAAAAAGGAAGGAGGTGCATCAAGCCAAGCCTGACCAGGACCTGGAAACCAATGTCCTCACTATGAAAGAACATGTGGGTCAAGAATAGGATTCCACAGTCACCTACAGACCCACAACCAAGACGCTACACTTGGAAGGCCGTCATATTCAGACAACGAGGGATTGCCAAAGGAAATATGGAATAATCATTAGCTGTCATTACAAAAGAGATGGGAGTATTTTAGACTCTTTAGCTGTTTTCCTGTTGTTTCTGATGGTTATATTATTATTATTATTATATAATATATTATTATAGTATATTATTATATTATATAATAATATATTATTATATTTTATTTTATTATATAATAATATATTATTATAGTATATTATTATATTATATAATAATATATTATATTTTTATTATTATATTATATAATAATATATTATATTATTATATTATTATTATTATTATTATTATTATTATTATTATTATTATTATTATTATTATATGGCACTAAAAGGACAATTTTGCGTCGCTGTTGCCTCTTTGTGGGTTCGAATCTCATCGGAAAGGCTCTCCCAACTTCTGGAAAGTTGTAGGAAACTTTATGACATTTGAGGCAGAATTGCAGCCTTCTCCCAACAAAACCAGACGGCGGAAAGAAAGAGCGTCGGGATGTAATTTAGGTGAAGAGGGCAGCGGCATCCTCCTCGAGAAAGGGCCCCGTTGTGCTAAACATCCCTTTCTCAACCTATCATTACTCCACCCGCTCGGGGTTTGGGACTCGGCCCTGTTTACTTACATCATTTTGGGAAAAGTAGAATGGCCCCGTTTTGAAACCCCAACATCGGGCCTGGGCCAGCTTTCTAACTTGGGGGCCACAGGGTAGCACTCCCTGCGAAGAGGAATGGCTGCCCAGTAGTGGAAGGAAGGAAGGAAGGGAAGGAGGAAGGAAAGGGAGAAGGAAGGAAGGAGAAAGGGAAGGATGGAAGTAAGGAAGGAAAGGAGGAAGGAAAGAGAGAAGGGAGGGAGGAAGGGGGAAGGGAAGGATAAAGGAAATAGAGAATGAAGGAAAGACAAAGGGGAAGGAAGGAAGGAAGGAAGGAAGGAGAAAGGGAGAGCGGGAAGGAGGGAAGAAAGAGGGAAGAAAGGAAAGACAAAAGGGAAGAAAGGAAGAAAGGGTGGGATGGAAGGAAGGAAAAATAGAAGGAAGGGAGGGAGGGAAGGATGAAGGAAGGGAAAGATAAGGGAAAGAGAATGAAGCAAAGACAAAAGGAAGGAAGGAAGGAAGGAAGGAAGGAAGGAAGGAAGGAAGGAAGGAAGGAAGGAAGGAAGGAAGGAAGGAGGAAGGAAGGAAAGGCGAAAGGGAAGGAAGGAAGGATGGAAGGAGAAAGGAAGGATGGAAGGAAGGAAGGAAAGGAGGAAGGAAAGAGAGAAGGGAGGAAGGAAGGGGGAAGGGAAGGATAAAGGAAATAGGGAAGGAGGGAAGAAAGAGGGAAGAAAGGAAAGACAAAAGGGAAGAAAGGAAGAAAGGGTGGGATGGAAGGAAGGAAAAATAGAAGGAAGGGAGGGAGGGAGGGAGGGAGGGAGGGAAGGATGAAGGAAGGGAAGGAAGGGAAAGGAATGAAGAAAGGAAAAAAGGAAGGAAGGATGGAAGGAGAAAGGAAGGATGGAAGGAAGGAAGGAAAGGAGGAAGGAAAGAGAGAAGGGAGGAAGGAAGGGGGAAGGGAAGGATAAAGGAAATAGAGAATGAAGGAAAGACAAAGGGGAAGGAAGGAAGGAAGGAAGGAAGGAGAAAGGGAGAGCGGGAAGGAGGGAAGAAAGAGGGAAGAAAGGAAAGACAAAAGGGAAGAAAGGAAGAAAGGGTGGGATGGAAGGAAGGAAAAATAGAAGGAAGGGAGGGAGGGAAGGATGAAGGAAGGAAGAGGGAAGGGAGGGAGGAGAGACAAAAGGAAGGAAGGAAGGAAGGAAGGAAGGAAGGAAGGAAGGAAGGAAGGAAGGAAGGGAAAGGAAGGAAGGAAGGGAAAGGAAGGAAGGGAAAGGAAGGAAGGAAAGGATGGAAGGAGAAAGGAAGAGGAAGGAAGGAAGAAAGGAGGAAGGAAAGAGAGAAGGGGAGGAAGGAAGGGGAAGGAAGGATAAAGGAAGAGAAGAAGAAGAAAGGGAAGGAAGGAAGGAAGGAAGAAAAGGAATATGAAAAATTGAGAAATATCTGTATATGCGGCTCTGCTGAAAAAGGAACCACCAATTCCTGAGAACAGAGAACTTTCTTGACATTCAGCTCAAATGACTTGAGCAAGAGCTTTCTTAGCAGGATTGTGAAAGCCAAGAAAAAAGGAAGGAAGGAAGGAAGGAAGGAAGGAAGGAAGGAAGGAAGGAAGGAAGAGGAAGGAAGGAAGGGTAGAAGGAAGGAAAGGCGAAAGGGAAGGAAGGAAGGATGGAAGGAGAAAGGAAGGATGGAAGGAAGGAAGGAAAGGAGGAAGGAAAGAGAGAAGGGAGGAAGGAAGGGGGAAGGGAAGGATAAAGGAAATAGAGAATGAAAGAAAGACAAAGGGGAAGGAAGGAAGGAAGGAAGGAAGGAAGGAAGGAAGGAAGGAAGGAAGGAAGGAAGGAGAAAGAAGAGGAAGGGGAGGAAGAAAGGAAAGACGAAAGGGAAGAAAGGAAGGGAAGGAAGGAAGGAAAAATAGAAGGAAGGGAGGGAGGGAAGGATGAAGGAAGGGAAAGATAAGGGAAAGAGAATGAAGCAAAGACAAAAAGGAAGGAAGGAAGGAAGGAAGGAAGGAAGGAAGGAAGGAAGGAAGGAAGGAAGGAAGGAAGGGAAAGGGAGAGCAGGAAGGAGGGAAGAAAGAGGGGAGGGAGGAAAGACAAAAGGGAAGGATGAAAGGTGGAAGGAAAGGAAGGAAGGAAGGAAGGAAGGAAGGAAGGAAGGAAGAAAGGAAGGAAGGAAGGAAGGAGAAGGAAGGAAGGGGGAAGAAAGAGGAAGGAAGGAAAGACAAAAGGAAGGAAGGAAGGGTGAAAGGTGGAAGGAAAGGAAGGAAGGAAGGGAAGGAAGGAAGGGAGGAAGGAAAGAAGAAAAGGAAGGGGGAAGGGAAGGATAAAGGAAAGAGAGAATGAAGGAAAGACAAAAGGGAAGGAAGGAAGGAAGGAGAAAGGGAGAGTGGGAAGGAGGGAAGAAAAAAAAGAAGGGGAAGGAAGGAGGAAAGGGGGGAAGGGAAGATGGAAGGAAGGAAAAATAGAAGGGAGGGAGGAAGGAAGGAAAAGGAAAAGGATAAATGAAGGAAAGAAAAAGGGAGGAAGGAAGGAGAAGGAAAGAGAGAAGGAAGGAAAGACAAAAGGAAGGAAGGATGAAAGGGGAAGGGGAAGGAAAAACAAAAAATGGAGGGAGGAAGGGAGAGGAAGGAAGGAAGGGAAGAGAGAAGGAAGGAAAGACAAAAGGGAAGGAAGGAGAAAGAAGAGGAGAGAAGTAGAAAGAGGAAGGAAGGAGGACAAAAAGGATGGAAGGGAAGGAGAAGGAGAAAGGGAGGGAGGTAAGGGAAGGAAAGAGGGAATGTAAGAGAGAAAGAAGGAGGGACAAAAAGGTGGAAGGGAATGGAGGGAGGGAGAAAGAGGGAGGGAATGGAGGGACGGAAGGGAAAATGAAGGAAGGAATGAAGGAGAAAGAGGGAGAAAGGGAAGAAGGGAGGAAAGAGGGAATGTAAGAGAGAAAGAAGGAGGGACAAAAAGGTGGAAGGGAATGGAGGGAGGGAGAAAGAGGGAGGGAATGGAGGGACGGAAGGGAAAATGAAGGAAGGAATGAAGGAGAAAGAGGGAGAAAGGGAAGAAGGGAGGAAAGAGGGAATGTAAGAGAGAAAGAAGGAGGGACAAAAAGGTGGAAGGGAATGGAGGGAGGGAGAAAGAGGGAGAGAATGGAGGGACGGAAGGGAAAATGAAGGAAGGAATGAAGGAGAAAGAGGGAGAAAGGGAAGAAGGGAGGAAAGAGGGAATGTAAGAGAGAAAGAAGGAGGGACAAAAAGGTGGAAGGGAATGGAGGGAGGGAGAAAGAGGGAGAGAATGGAGGGACGGAAGGGAAAATGAAGGAAGGAATGAAGGAGAAAGAGGGAGAAAGGGAAGAAGGGAGGAAAGAGGGAATGTAAGAGAGAAAGAAGGAGGGACAAAAAGGTGGAAGGGAATGGAGGGAGGGAGAAAGAGGGAGAGAATGGAGGGACGGAAGGGAAAATGAAGGAAGGAATGAAGGAGAAAGAGGGAGAAAGGGAAGAAGGGAGGAAAGAGGGAATGTAAGAGAGAAAGAAGGAGGGACAAAAAGGTGGAAGGGAATGGAGGGAGGGAGAAAGAGGGAGAGAATGGAGGGACGGAAGGGAAAATGAAGGAAGGAATGAAGGAGAAAGAGGGAGAAAGGGAAGAAGGGAGGAAAGAGGGAATGTAAGAGAGAAAGAAGGAGGGACAAAAAGGTGGAAGGGAATGGAGGGAGGGAGAAAGAGGGAGAGAATGGAGGGACGGAAGGGAAAATGAAGGAAGGAATGAAGGAGAAAGAGGGAGAAAGGGAAGAAGGGAGGAAAGAGGGAATGTAAGAGAGAAAGAAGGAGGGACAAAAAGGTGGAAGGGAATGGAGGGAGGGAGAAAGAGGGAGAGAATGGAGGGACGGAAGGGAAAATGAAGGAAGGAATGAAGGAGAAAGAGGGAGAAAGGGAAGAAGGGAGGAAAGAGGGAATGTAAGAGAGAAAGAAGGAGGGACAAAAAGGTGGAAGGGAATGGAGGGAGGGAGAAAGAGGGAGGGAATGGAGGGACGGAAGGGAAAATGAAGGAAGGAATGAAGGAGAAAGAGGGAGAAAGGGAAGAAGGGAGGAAAGAGGGAATGTAAGAGAGAAAGAAGGAGGGACAAAAAGGTGGAAGGGAATGGAGGGAGGGAGAAAGAGGGAGGGAATGGAGGGACGGAAGGGAAAATGAAGGAAGGAATGAAGGAGAAAGAGGGAGAAAGGGAAGAAGGGAGGAAAGAGGGAATGTAAGAGAGAAAGAAGGAGGGACAAAAAGGTGGAAGGGAATGGAGGGAGGGAGAAAGAGGGAGGGAATGGAGGGACGGAAGGGAAAATGAAGGAAGGAATGAAGGAGAAAGAGGGAGAAAGGGAAGAAGGGAGGAAAGAGGGAATGTAAGAGAGAAAGAAGGAGGGACAAAAAGGTGGAAGGGAATGGAGGGAGGGAGAAAGAGGGAGGGAATGGAGGGACGGAAGGGAAAATGAAGGAAGGAATGAAGGAGAAAGAGGGAGAAAGGGAAGAAGGGAGGAAAGAGGGAATGTAAGAGAGAAAGAAGGAGGGACAAAAAGGTGGAAAAGAGGGAGGTAAGGAAGGAAAGGAAGGAGAGAAGGAAGGAAGGAGAGGATGGTGAGAGAGAGGAAGGCCTGAGAAAAGAGCCCAAGAGGCCGCATTTGGCCCCCCGGACTGGGTTTGCCCATCTGAATAGGCAAACCCAGTAACTTTATACTCGCACAGTAATATTTAATTGTTTTTATTTTTGTATTTGTTGAAATTGCGTGGTTTTCACATACGTACTCTTCTATAGATGTCACACCTGTGACAGGTAAAAATATGGAACAAGAAAGAATATGGTATACCCACAAGCATTTGAGGAAGATACATTACCAATCCGACGCGGCTGTCCTTTTGCATATCACGTGCCACTCCTGATTCTCCATTTCATCACATTTTCCAGAATATTTGGAAATATTTCCTAAGTTTTCTTTGAAAAGCAGAGGCAAATGAGTTATTCCTTGGACAACGAAACATTCAACTTTTCCAAAAAGGAAAGAAAGGTGCAAAATGCGGTACCTGAGAGCATAGCGAGAGGTCACGACCGGGGCCTGGCGCTTGGGAAGGAAATAACCTTACTTTGGGTCAAGCGTTAAAAATCCATTTGTTTTTGTTTTTATTCTACAAATGTACAAACAAACAAAACCCCCAGCTTTGAAAGATTAACAACCAAAGGGAGGAAAACAGATCCAGAAATGTCCTGGGATTTTGTTTTGTGCAAAAAGGATTTCGGAGTTTTGGATAAATTCCAGTCCTTGAAATGGACGAGGGAGGAGAAGCGCACCCTTCGGGTGAGCCATACCAACCCCTCAGGAGGAGAGCAAAGCATCGGCTGGCCTTTAGCGGTCCTTTCTTTGCGGAAACAAAGATGGCCGAGCGGCCTTACACGCTCAAAACTTGAGGCTGAAGCCCGGTCCTGCGGCCGACGCCCCTTGGTTTGTGGTGGTCAGGTGGAAGCCGGTATCTTTCAAGTCGTCATCGCCCTAAGAGGACACAAAACAAAGCACAGAATGATTTCTATGCAAACATACAAAAAATTGTGATAATAGGCATGTATGAGGGTTGAATGAAAAGTAATGCCTCCACCTTCGTAACGCCTCAACAGATTGGCAGTACTGATATGCGGCAGGTACTGGCTTGTTCAGTAGACTCTCCTCTACAGTTCCATTTTGGTGGGAAGCCTTAGCATTGCACGGTTGTGTTGTTAAAGTGAAAAGTAATGCCTCCACCTTGGTAACTCCTCAACAGATGGCAGTACTGGTATGCAGCAGGTACTGGCTTGTTCAGTAGACTCTCCTCTACAGTTCCATTTTGGTGGGAAGCCTTAGCATTGCACGGTTGTGTTGCTAAAGTGAAAAGTAATGCCTCCACCAACGCCTCAACAGATGGCAGTACTGGTATGCAGCAGGTACTGGCTTGTTCAGTAGACTCTCCTCTACAGTTCCATTTTGGCAGGAAGTCTTAGCATTGAACAGTTGTGTTGTTAAAGTGAAAAGTAATGCCTCCACCTTCGTAACTCCTCAACAGATGGCAGTACTGGTATGCGGCAGGTACTGGCTTGTTCAGTAGACTCTCCTCTACAGTTCCATTTTGGCAGGAAGTCTTAGCATTGCACAGTTGTGTTGTTAAAGTGAAAAGTAATGCCTCCACCTTCATAACTCCTCAACAGATCGGCAGTACTGGTATGCGGCAGGTACTGGCTTGTTCAGTAGACTCTCCTCTACAGTTCCATTTGGGCAAAAAGCCTTAGCATTGAACGGTTGTGTTGTTAAAGTGTGAAGTATGGAACCCTGTGCAGAAGGTCACTCAATGCAACTTAAGCACCATATATGGCAGGTACTGGCTTGTTCAGTAGGCTCTCCTCTACAGTTCCATTTTGGTGGGAAGCCTTAGCATTGAACGGTTGTGTTGTTAAAGTGCAGAGTACGGAACCTTGTGCAGGCAGTTGATTAATATGACTTAAGCATCGTATGTGGCAGGTACTGGCTTGTTCAGTAGACTCCTCCAGAGTTCCATTTTGGCAGGAAGCCTTAGCATTGAACGGTTGTGTTGTTAAAGTGCGAAGTATGGAACCTTGTGCAGACGGTCGGTCAATGTGACTTAAGCAACATGCAGTCATTGCAGAAAGTGTCACCCCAAAGGAGATTCATCAGAGAATGCAAGCTGTTTTGGGGATTGTGTTGATGTGAGTATTGTGCGTCGTTGGGCGAGGAAGTTGAAAGATGTTGAGGTGGGAATATCTGACTTGCGAGATGAACAAAGAGTTGGACGTCCTGTGACAGCAACCACTGAGTTTCACAAGCAAAAGATTGACAGATTGATTCAGGATGATCGTCGTATCACTCAGAGAGAAATGTCAAGCATAATTGGCATTTCACAAAAACATGTGGGTCACATTATTGCTTTGTTTGGCTATTGTGATCTGTACACAATGGGTACACAGGATGCTGACGCTTGAAATTCACCCAACGATGCACAGTACTCACATCAAGACAATCCCCATATACAGCTTGCATTCTCTGATGAATCTCCTTTGGGGTGACACCTTCTGCTGTCAAGAATTCAAGGACTGCATGTTGCTTAAGTCGCATTGACCGACCGTCTGCGCAAGGTTCCGTACTTTTCACGTTAACAACACAACCGTTTCATGCTAAGGCTTCCCGCCAAAACGGAACTGTAGAGGAGAGTCTACTGAACAAGCCAGTACCTATCACATACCAGTACTGCCATCTGTTCACTTTAACAACACGACCGTTCAATGCTACGGCTTCCCGCCAAAATGGAACTGTAGAGGAGAGTCTACTGAACAAGCCAGTACCTGCCGCATACCAGCACTGCCATCTGTTGAGGAGTTACGAAGGCAGAGGCATTACTTTTCACTTTAAGAACACCAGCACTTTGAATTCTGCTTGGTAGCAAACTGAGAGTGCTTGCCATAGATGCAGGCGAAACGTCAGGAGAAAATGCTTCTAGAACATGGCCATATGGCCCAAAAAACCTACAACAACCCAGTGATTCTGGCCATGAAGGCCTCTGGCAATACTCTGTGAATATTATCTGAGGAACACTGAAATACCAAAATTTGGGGTGCGACTATTATGCAGTGAAATATGGCATTTAAAATACGTCAGGAGAGAATGCTTCTAGAACATGGTCACACAGCCCAAAAAACCTACAACAACCCAGTGATTCCGGCCACGAAGGCCTTCGACAATACTCTGTGAATATTATCTGAGGAACACAAAAATACCAATATTTGGGGTGCGACTATTATGCAATGAAATACAGCATTTAAAATACGTCAGGAGAGAATGCTTCTAGAACATGGCCATACAGCCCAAAAAAACCTACCACAACCCAGTGATTCCGGCCATGAAGGCCTTCAACAATACTCTGTGAATATTATCTGAGGAACACAAAAATACCGAAATTTGGAACGCGACTAGTATGCAATGAAATACGGCATTTAAAATGTGTCAGGAGAGAATGCTTATAGAACTCAAAAAACCAACAACAACCCAGTGATTCTGGCCATGAAGACCTTCGACAATACTCTGTAAATATTATTTGAGGAACACAAAAATACCAAAAATCGTGGTGCGACTATTATGCAATGAAATACAGTATTTAAAATCTCATCGCCACTAGACCCAACTCTTATATTTACTAACAAACAAAAATCACAAACTTCAAGTCAATACATTATTTGATTTGTGGCACTGCGTTTCATGCCCTCTTGAAATCCACTCCACTTAATGAGGACTAGAAACATGGTTTTCTCATTTGAAAGGAGGCTGCGTATTGCTTGGCCGCACACGGGATTTCACTGACCAGCTGGCTGTATCCCAAGCCCCCCTCCGGCGGCCGAGGGCTCGTTCCCCGTTTCACTCTGGGCTGCTCGCTTTTGGCCGGCCACGTCGGGAACATGGAGGGATCGATGGGCAGCGGCGTCTCCCGGAAATACTCGTGCTTCAAGCCATCCTCGGCCGTGATCCTTCTGCCTGGGAAGTAGGTCAGGAACCTAGAAATGAGCAGATGAAGTTTGGGTGTTAGAGAGAGTGGAAGAGTTGGTGTTAGTCGGAGCGAGTTTGGGTTTAGAGAAGAAGATTAATGAGCTAGCCTTTTGTGAAGTATTCAGAGTAGCCATTAGGAGATAGCTAGAATATTATTTGGGAACAGTGCCCAGTTAGTGGACTTGGAAGTCCAGTTCAGGGTATTTTTGGCTAGATTCCTAAGGGGCATTTTTGGGAGTTGCTTTCAGAGATTAATTTCCTGAAGTAGTTTTCTGTGGTGGAACTTTGAAGACTTGCAACCCAGAAGAATTTAAGGCAGCAGTTCTCAACCAGGGGGTCGCGACCCCCAGGAGGGTCGTTGGGCCATTTTCGGGGGGTTGCGAAGGTGGATGGCCTCGCCCCCTCCAAAATGGCTGCCGACCCCCTGTGTCAGCCTAAAAGCTAGCACTCCTGATCCGCTCCTCCTCCTGCTCTTCCCAAAGGGCTGTGTGGTGCCAAGAGGAGGAGCTTGTAGGAAAAGGCACGCGTGGGAAGAAGGTTCACCTTGCCGTTAGAGCAGGGTGCCCCACCAGCTGGGAAGGGCGCAGGGGGGAGGCGGAGGGCTGCCCTCACGGCCCTGCCATTTCCAGCAACTGCAACTCCCAAATTTATTTATTATTTATTTGCTGCACTTATAGACCGCAATTCTCAGCCCAAGGGCGACTCATTGCAGTGTACAACATGGAAAACAAGTGCAAATTACAAAACATAGTGTAAAATAAACTACAATTCATCATTAATTCATCTCTATCCCACCGGCTTCCCAAGCGCGGCTGGTGGGAACGAGAGACAGGGCCTTTTCTGTGGTGGCCCCTCGGCTTTGGAACACCCTCCCTATAGAGATACGATCTGCCTCTTCGCTGATGGCTTTTCGGAAGACACTAAAAACTTGGTTGTTTAAACAAGCATTCGGTTAGTCTGTTATTACCGAACTTTGCTGACTAAGGACTGGTTAATTATGGATGACGAACTCTGGATTGGTGATTTTATTGACGAGATGCATGGTATTATTATTGGTGGCCCAATAATCTGTATTGTCTATGTGTTGTTGTTTTAAATTGTATATTGTTTTTAATTGCTGTAAACCGCAATGAGTCGCCGACTTAGGCTGAGATATTAGCGGTATACAAGTGTATAAAATAAATAAATAAATAAATAAATAAATTAATTAGGAAAGCATCTTATCAAAACATCAACAATACTACAAAAGCCATTCCGAATCGTCTCATCGTCAACCCACAATCCGATATCATTTCCGTTGTTCCGTTCCTATGGTCAAATTACCAGTCATTGCACTTCTTGGTCAAATGCCTTCTTAAATAGCCAGGTCTTTAACTTCCTGCGGAATATCAACAGGGAGGGGGCTAGCCTGATGTCCACGGGAAGGGTGTTCCACAGCCGAGGAGCCACCACCGAGAAGGCCCTATCTCTCGTCCCCAGCCGTGCCTGTGACACAGGCGGAATCGAGAGCAGGGCCTCCCCGGAAGATCTCAAAGTCCTCGTGGGCTCATAGGCCGAGAGGCGGTCAGTTAGGTATCTTGGGCCGGAACCGTTTAGGGCTTTATAGGCCAATGCCAGCACCTTGAATTGAGCCCGGTAGCAGATCGGCAGCCAGTGGAGCTGGTACAGCAGGGGGGTTGTATGCTCCCTGCGACCCGCTCCTGTTAGTATCATGGCTGCCGCACGTTGGACCAGTTGGAGCTTCCGGGCCGTCTTCAAAGGCAACCCCACGTAGAGAGCGTTGCAGTAGTCTAAACGGGATGTAACCAGAGCGTGGACTACCGTGGCCAAGTCAGACTTCCCAAGGTACGGGCGCAGCTGGCGCACGAGCCTAAGCTGTGCAAATGCTCCCCTGGTCACCGCCGAGACCTGGGGTTCCAGGCTCAACGATGAATCCAGGATCACACCCAAGGGGAGTGCGACCCCATCCAGCACGGGCTGTAACCCTATACCCTGTTCGGCCTTGCGACTGACCAGGAGTACCTCTGTCTTGTCTGGATTCAATTTCAATTTGTTCGCCCTCATCCAGACCGTTCACAGCGGCCAAGCACCGGTTCAGGACCTCGACAGCCTCCTTAGTAGCAGGTGGGAAGGAGTGACAGAGTCAAGATCTGTTTTCCCCAAACTCCACCAGTGTTCAAATTTGGCCATGTTGAGTATTTGTGCCAAGTTTGGTCCAAATGCAGTCGTTTGGGTTCACAGTGCTCTCCGTATGTAGGTGAACTACATCTCCCATAAATCAAAGTCAATTCCTCGCTGCCCCCTCCAGTATTTTCTGTTGGTCACTGGGGTTCTGTGTGCCAAATTTGTTCCAGGTCTATAATTTGTGGGGGTCTCAGTGGTCTGTGGAAATCAGAGCTGAATCGGTTGAAGGTACTGCAAATCCCATCATCCATTGTCCATAGTCCCTGAGCTCTGCGAGTGCAGCATTTTTCCAAATGAAGCAGAGAGTGTTTGAGGACCGGGACATCCATAGGGAGACCAAGGGGGCTTGTTTATAAAGCCATTGTCCTCCCAACCCCACCTCTCCACAAAAGTCAACATTGACACAAAATACAACACCGCCTGAGCTCTGCGAGTGCAGCATTTTTCCGAATGAAGCAGAGAGTGTTTGAGGACCGGGACATCCGTAGGGAGACCAAGGGGCTTGTTTATAAAGCCATTGTCCTCCCAACCCTACTATACACCTGTGAGACGTAGGCTATCTACAGACGTCACATGCAACTCCTAGAACGATTCCATCAGCGCTGCCTCCGGAAAATCCTGCAAATATCTTGGGAAGACAAGCGGACAAATGTCAGCATGCTGGAAGAAGCAAAGACCACCAGCATTGAAGCAATGGTCCTCCACCACCAACTCCGCTGGACCGGCCACGTTGTCCGGATGCCCGATCACCGTCTCCCAAAGCAGTTGCTATACTCTGAACTCAAGAACGGAAAATGGAATGTTGGTGGGCAGGAAAAGAGATTGAAAGATGGGCTCAAAGCCAACCTTAAAAACTCTGGCATAGACACTGAGAACTGGGAAGCCCTGGCCCTTGAGTGCTCCAGCTGGAGGTCAGCTGTGACCAGCAGTGCTGCAGAATTCGAGGAGGCACGAGTGGAGGGTGAAAGAGAGAAACGTGCCAGGAGGAAGGCGCGTCAAGCCAACCCCGACCGGGACCGCCTTCCACCTGGAAACCAATGCCTTCACTGTGGGAGAAGATGCGGGTCAAGAATAGGGCTCCACAGCCACCTACAAACCCACAAAAATAGTCATCAAGGAAGAACATCTTACTCGTCCAACGAGGGATCGCCTAAGTAAGTAACTCCCCGAGCATATTGTTTTTGTGATCAATCACTATGCTTTAATTATGTTAAATTTGTAACAATGAAAACACATCCTGCATATCAGATATTTCCATTATGCCTCATAAGAGTAGCAAAATTACCGTTATGAAGTAGCAATGAAAATATGGTTGGGGGTCACCAGAACATGAGGAACTTTATTTAGGGGTCACGGCATTAGAAAGGTTGAGAATCCCTGGACTAGTGGTCTTTGTGTTCATGGAGATTGAGATTTGTCAAACAGATGTGACATCATTTTTGCCTTTTTCAATAAGCTTATGGTGCACATTTCTAATTTCTTATGGAATTCCCAACAGACTGAACAGGTTGAAGTCTCCCACCAAGGCTTCAATCTGATTGGTGGGGGGGGGGGGGGGGACATATTCATGTTTACAGATGTGTTCGCTGTACTGGAAAAAAAGCAGTAGCGCAGCCTCCGGGAGGGAAGGCCGACTGAGCATCGCAGGCTGCCGAAGACGGTTTTGCAAAACGCTCGCTTAGTAAAATTTCATGCGCCGCCGCTTTATGCCCTCGTGAAACATCCGGCATCCGGGTCAAGAGACTGCCGCAACTTCTTTTGCAAAGTGAACTGAATTGGGAGGCAAACTGTACAATATTGACACAAACGCAACCGCGACTCACTTGTTCATCAGATCGAAGCCTTGGTCGGAAAGGAGGGCCCCAAACCGCTTGCGGAGGTTGTTGTACGGATACTCCGTGAAGGTCATCTTCTTCACGGCCGGCAGTTCGTTGTACCCGGGCCAGATTTTCTCACTGGGGGTCCCCAGGTCCTTTCAACAGAAAATACAGAATACAGAATAGGTCGCCATGTCAGAAAACCAGGATCACTTTGACTGTTTTCTTTGTCAAGCCTCAGATAATAATAATAATTAGGTTCTTGTAGGTTTTTTCGGGCTATAGGGCCATGTTCTAGAGGCATTCCCTCCTGACGTTTCGCCTGCATCTATGGCAAGCATCCTCAGAGGTAGTGAGGTCTGTTGGAACTAGGAAAAATGGGTTTATATATCTGTGGAATGACTGGGGTGGAGCAATTCCTCTTTGGTTAGACCACATCTGGAATATTGTGTCCAATTCTGGGCACCACAATTCAAGAGAGATATTGACAAGCTGGAATGTGTCCAGAGGAAGGCGACTAAAATGATCAAGGGTCTGGAGAACAAGCCCTATGAGGAGCGGCTTAAGGAGCTGGGCATGTTTAGCCTGAAGAAGAGAAGGCTGAGAGGAGATATGATAGCCATGTATAAATATGTGAGAGGAAGCCACAGGGAGGAGGGAGCAGATCAAGGGTCTGGAGAACAAGCCCTATGAGGAGCGGCTTAAGGAGCTGGGCATGTTTAGCCTGAAGAAGAGAAGGCTGAGAGGAGATATGATAGCCATGTATAAATATGTGAGAGGAAGCCACAGGGAGGAGGGAGCAGATCAAGGGTCTGGAGAACAAGCCCTATGAGGAGTGGCTTAAGGAGCTGGGCATGTTTAGCCTGAAAAAGAGAAGGCTGAGAGGAGATATGATAGCCATGCATAAGTATGTGAGAGGAAGCCACAGGGAGGAGGAGGGAGCAAGCTTGTTTTCTGCTTCCTTGGAGACTAGGACGCAATGGAACAATGGCTTCAAACTACAAGAGAGGAGATTCCATCTGAACATGAGGAAGAACTTCCTGACTGAGAGCCGTTCAGCAGTGGAACTCTCTGCCCCGGAGTGTGGTGGAGGCTCCTTCTTTGGAAGCTTTTAAGCAGAGGCTGGATGGCCATTTGTCAGGGGTGATTTGAATGCAATATTCCTGCTTCTTGGCAGGGGTTGGACTGGATGGCCCATGAGGTCTCTTCCAACTCTAGGATTCTATGATTCTCTGCTGGAGCTAGGTGTGAATGTTTCAACTGATCACCTTCATTAGCATTTGAAGGCCTGCCTGAGCCTGGGAAAATATTTTGCTGGGAGGTGTTAATCTGTGCCTGGTTGTTTCCTCTCTGTTGTTTTTCTGTTGTAATTTTAGAGTTTTTTAATACTGGTAGCCAGATTTTGTTCATTTTCATGGTCTCTTCCTTTCTGTTGAAATTGTCCACATGCTTCTTGTGGATTTCCATGGCTTCTCTGTGTAGTCTGACATGGTGGTTGTGAGTGGTCCAGCATTTCTGTGTTCTCAAATAATATGCTGTGTCCAGGCTGGTTCATCAGGTGCTCTGCTATGGCTGACTTCTCTGGTTGAAGTAGTCTGCAGTGCCTTTCATGTTCCTTGATTCGTGTCTGGGCAATGCTGCGTTTGGTGGTCCCTATGTAGACTTGTCCACAGCTGCATGGTATACGGTAGACTCCTGCAGAGGTGAGAGGATCCCTCTTGTCCTTTGCTGAACGTGGCATTTGTTGGATTTTCTTGGTGGGTTTGTAGATTGTTTGTATGTTGTGTTTCCTCATCAGCTTCCCTCTGCGGTCGGTCAGTGGTTCCCTTAATATAGGGCAGGAACACTTTTCCTCTGGGTGGATCTTCAGAAATGCTGGACCACTCCAACAACCACCATGTCAGACTACACAGAGAAGCCATTGAAATCCACAAGAAGCATGTGGACAATTTCAACAGAAAGGAAGAGACCATGAAAATGAACAAAATCTGGCTACCAGTATTAAAAAACTCTAAAATTACAACAGCAAAACAACAGAGAGGAAACAACCAGGCACAGATTAACACCTCTCAACAAAAGATTTTCCCAGGCTCAGCCAAGGCCTTCAAATGCTAATGAAGGTGGTCAGCTGAAACATTCACACCTAGCTCCAGCAGAGAAGAGCTCTTTGCCCCACCCCAGCCATTCCACAGATATATAAACCCATTTTCCTTTCCAACAGACCTCACTACCTCTGAGGATGCTTGCCATAGATGCAGGCGAAACGTCAGGAGAGAATGCCTCTAGAACATGGCCATATAGCCCGAAAAAACCACAAGAACCTAGTGATTCCAGCCATGAAAGCCTTCGACAATAATAATAATAATAATAAACGTTAATACCCCGCCACCATCTCCCCAATGGGTTACATGAGGCCAAGCCCAACAACATATCACAATAAAGTAAAACCAAAACACAATAACAACACAGTAAAATAATAATAATAATAATAATAATAATAATAATAATAATAATAATCTTTATTTACTAGACCAAGGAAGCACTGCATGGCTTACCTTGAAAACTTTGTTGATTTGGTCAATTTCGGACTTCCCTGGAAAGAGCGGCTTCTGGGTCAAGAGCTCTCCAAAGATGCAGCCCACCGACCACATGTCAATCGCTGTGGAATATTCCTGGGAAGGAGGAGAGCGGAGAAGAGTCGTGAATCATAGCCTTGCAAGGGACCCCAAGGGTCATCCAGTCCAACCCCCTTCTGCCACACAAACAAAGCACTCCCAATAGATGGCCATCCAGTCCAAACTCCTTCTGCCACACAAACAAAGTACTCCCAATAGATGGCCATCCAGTCCAACCCCCTTCTGCCACACAAACAAAGCACTCCCAATAGATGGCCATCCAGTCCAACCCACTTTTGCCACACAAACAAAGCACTCCCAATAGATGGCCATCCAGTCCAACCCCCTTCTGCCACACAAACAAAGCACTCCCAATAGATGGCCATCCAGTCCAACACCCTTCTGCCACACAAACAAAGCACTCCCAACAGATGGCCATCCAGTCCAACCCCCTTCTGCTACACAAAGCACTCCCAATACATGGCCATCCAGTCCAACCCCCTTCTGCCACACAAACAAAGTACTCCCAATAGATGGCCATCCAGTCCAACCCCCTTCTGCCACACAAACAAAGTACTCCCAATAGATGGCCATCCAGTCCAACCCCCTTCTGCCACACAAACAAAGCACTCCCAATAGATGGCCATCCAGTCCAACCCACTTTTGCCACACAAACAAAGTACTCCCAATAGATGGCCATCCAGTCCAACCCACTTTTGCCACACAAACAAAGCACTCCCAATAGATGGCCATCCAGTCCAACCCCCTTCTGCCACACAAACAAAGCACTCCCAATAGATGGCCATCCAGTCCAACCCACTTTTGCCACACAAACAAAGCACTCCCAATAGATGGCCATCCAGTCCAACCCCCTTCTACTACACAAAACACTCCCAATAGATGGCCATCTAGTCCAACCACCTTCTGCCACACAACCAAAGCACTCCCAACAGATGGCCATCCAGTCCAACCCCCTTCTGCCACCCAAACAAGGCACTCCCAACAGATGGCCATCCAGTCCAATCCCCTTCTGCCACACAACCAAAGCACTCCCGACGGATGGCCATCCAGTCCAACCCCTTCTGCCATACAAAGCACTCCCAACAGATGGCCATGCAATCCCACCCCCTTCTGCCACACAAACAAAGCACTCCCAATGGATGGCCTTCCAGTCCAACCCCTTCTGCCACACAAACAAAGGACTCCCAACAGATGGCCATCCAGTCCAAGCCCCTTCTGCCACACAAAGAAAGTACTCCCAAAAGATGTCCATCTGGGTGAGTTCTGACCAGAGGCCTTTTTCAGAGCTCAAAAGTATGAAGGGAAGTCTATTAAGCCACACACCTTGGCTCCAAGCAACAGTTCCGGCGCCCTGTACCATAACGTCACCACAACGGGAGTGTACGGCTTCAGAGGGGAACCATATTCACGGGCCAGGCCAAAGTCTCCTACCTGAAAGGAAGGAAAACGAGTATTATTATTATTATTAATATTATACACAACAAGATTAGTACACAGCAAACAAGATTCTTATTGTTGTTGTTGTTGCAGCCATTTAGTTAGGCTAAGGGTGCCTAGGAGTCCCGAGGCTGCAACACCTTCCACATCTGTACAGAAGTTATTGACACTGTGTATATGTTTAACTGTTAGAATATATTTGTTTTGGTAACAGTAGCTGAAAGCTAGAGCTAACTGGTTGTATCCACAGGAGGGTGCCAAGGAGACCAGGCAGGAGAAGGAGAAGTGGGCGCAGCCTAGCAAGAAAATGTTTTCTGCGTTTTGAAATGAAGCAGTTCAGTTGGGGGTTTGGAGTCGGAGTGAGCAGTTGAGAGAGGAGAGTGGAGAAGCAGTGTGTGAATAGCCAGAGGTTTCTTCAGTCTAGGAAGGCTGAAGGGGGAAACCTAATTAGTTTCATTAGTCAGAGAGGACTAAGGGAAGCTTGTTTAGATCACTAGTTAGGAAAGAACTAGGGATCTAGGATTTGATCAAGAAAAGATCAAATAAGAAGGCTATTCACCTCAAGAACCATTGTGTATGAAAGTGCTTCACCACAGTAAAAGTCAATTACAAGTTGTACCATCCAGAAGTGTGAACTGTATTGCAAACCAAGTTACATTCAAAGTTCTCTAAGTTATTCCAAGTTAACCAAAAGCCTGCGACCATACGCTTTGTACAAAATAAACTTATTAACTTTTGTTTGAAGACTGTGTCATCTCCATTTATCTGCGTCTGGGGAGCCAGTTCTCATTGACAGATTAGAGAGATGGGCCAAAACTAACAAAATGAAGTTCAACAGTGACAAATGCAAGATACGCCACTTTGGCAGAAAAAACGAAATGCAAAGATACAGAAGGGGGGACAATGCCTGGCTCGAGAGCAGTACGTGTGAAAAAGATCTTGGAGTCCTCGTGGACAACAAGTTAAACATGAGCCAACAATGTGATGTGGCGGCAAAAAAAGCCAATGGGATTTTGGCCTGCATCAATAGGAGCCGAGTGTCTAGATCTAAGGAAGTAATGCTACCCCTCTATTCTGCTTTGGTTAGACCACACTGGAATATTGTGTCCAATTCTGGGCACCACAATTCAAGAGAGATATTGACAAGCTGGAATGTGTCCAGAGGAGGGCGACTAAAATGATCAAGGGTCTGGAGAACAAGCCTATGAGGAGCGGCTTAGGGAACTGGGCATGTGTAGCCTGAAGAAGAGAAGGCTGAGAGGAGATATGATAGCCATGTATAAATATGTGAGAGGAAGCCACAGGGAGGAGGGAGCAAGCTTGTTTTCTGCTTCCTTGGAGACTAGGACGCGGAACAATGGTTTCAAACTACAAGAGAGGAGATTCCATCTGAACATGAGGAAGAACTTCCTGACTGTGAGAGCCGTTCAGCAGTGGAACTCTCTGCCCCGGAGTGTGGTGGAGGCTCCTTCTTTGGAAGCTTTTAAACAGAGGCTGGATGGCCATCTGTCAGGGTGATTTGAATGCAATATTCCTGCTTCTTGGCAGGGGGTTGGACTGGATGGCCTACGAGGTCTCTTCCAACTCTTTGATTCTATGATTGGCAATACCTCGCGTTGGTGGCAGTTACCTGAATTACATTTATAATCATCCACACCTGAATAACTGGTGGCAGAATTTAAGAACAGACATTGTAGTTGGTGACAGTGGGTGGGTTCGTTAAGGTTAAAAACTCTATACCCTGTCTGTTGTTGTAATTGCAGCACCTTCGCAATTAGCACAATTGTACAACTGGTGCGTGCAGACTTTGCAAATTGGTGGCAGCCCTGTACAATTGGTGTACAACCTTTACAATAGGGCTAGCGTCACCGCAACATCTAAGGTGGAGGAAACTCAATTTAAGAAGTCTAAGGTTGAGGAAACTGAGTCAAAAGTTGAAGAAATAAGCTCTCAAGACTCGGAAAAGCAAGCTCAAAGTATCAAAGAACCAAAAATATCCTTCCAATAATAATAAAGAAAGTAAAATAACGAATGTAATAATAATAATAATAATAATAATAATAATAATAATAATAACTAAATTCAACCAATGCTAAACAGCTATATCCTAATATCAAGGCACACTCCTCAATCTATGATATGGGATTTTCTTACCACATGCAATAGCTGGCTTTGGAGGGATTTATAGGAGTTGTAGTTCACCTATATCCAGAGTGCACTATGAACCCAAACAATGATGGATCTGGGCCAAACTTGACATGCATACCCGATATGCCCACACTTGAATACTGGTGGGTTTGGAGCGGGATTGGTCTGGACGTTTTGAAGTTGTAGATATGGGATTTATAGTTAAGCTGCAATTAATGAGTACTCTGAACTTCACCAAAGATGGAATGGGACCAAACTTGGCACACAGAACCCCCATGACCAGCAAAAAATACTGGATGTCTTTGGGGAAAATTCACCTTGATTTGGGGAAATTGTAGTTCACCTACATCCAGAGGGCACTGTGAACCTAAACAACGATGGATCTGAACCAAACTTGGCACACATCCTTGATATGCTGAAATTTGATTACTGGGTTTGGGTGAACGGACAACTGTCCTTCCTTTCTGGGAGTTGTAGTTCACCTACCAGAGAAACTGTGACCTCCACCAATGATGTACCTGGATCAAACTTGGCACACAGAACCTCCAATGAGTGACTCAATCTACTGGAGGAGGGGTTTTTTTTTGCGGGTGGGGGGGGGGCACTGAACTTCCTTCTGGGAGTTGTAGTTCACTCAAAACTAGGAAAACTTTGAGCTTCACCAATGATGGACCTGGATCAAACTTGGCACACTAAACCCCCATGACTAACTCACCCTACTGGAGGGGTTTGAGGGGACTGACTCACCATAGTGGGAGTTGTAGTTTACCCTACAGCCAGAGAGCACACTCAACCCCACAAATGAGGCATCTAGAGCAGTGGTTCTCAACCTGTGGGTCCCCAGGTGTTTTGGCCTACAACTCCCAGAAATCCCAGCCAGTTTACCAGCTGTTAGGATGTCTGGGAGTTGAAGGCCAAAACATCTGGGGACCCACAGGTTGAGAACCACTGATCTAGAGCAAATTTGCCCAAAATAATAAACTTTTTGATGGAATTTTTCGGGGTTAACCTGGCATGATGGGAGTTGTAGTTCTCCCACAACCTTATGCATTGTGTACAATTTAAACATTGACTTTTGAAAATAACCTGCGCAATGCAGGATAGTAAAAGTAAAACTATTATTATTAAATTATATTATTATTATTATTATTATTATTATTATTATTATTTGTCACCTGCCTCTCCAAGCTAGGTAAATAAATAAAAATGGGAAGGACATTTGGAGTGATCAAAGCCGACCACGTAGAATAGTGTGAGATTAGTTTCTAGAAAAATAGAAACAAAGCCTCACTTTCAAAATGCCGGCGTGGCTCAACAGCAAGTTGGAGGTTTTCAAATCCCGGTGAAGGATCCAGTTGTCGTGAAGGTGTTTGACGCCCCGCAAGAGCTGGATCATCAGGGTTTTCACTTCACCTGCAACACGGAAACAGAGCGGGAAAGTCAAGGCCCGCTTGCTTGCGCCTTCCTGTTCATAAAAGGCTTTAGGAACGCGCGAAGCCTCTCCTACCTGGGAGGAACGGCTGCTTCATGGTCTCCATGAGGCTCTTGAGATCATGTTCCACGTAATTCATCACAATGTAGATCTTGTCCATGTTGCTCCCAACCACAATCTCCTGGAAATGAAGAAGGGGCCGGGTAAGGATCAATGACAACAACAACGAGGATGATAGTGGTAGTAGTAGTAGTAATAATGACTGATTATGATAATAACAATAATAACAATAATAATAATAGGGACAGGCTTTAGCACAGCAGGCAAACTACCAGCTGCAGTAAAAAGGAGGATAATGATAGTAGTAGTAGTAGTAATAATAATAATAATAATAATAATAATAATAAGGATCTATGATTATGATGATAACAATAATAATAATAGGGATGGGCTTTAGCACAGCAGGTTAACCACCAGCTGCAGTAAAAATGAGGATAATAGTAGTAGTAGTAGTAATAATAATAATAATAATAAGGATCGATTATGGTAGTAATAATAATAATAATAGGGATGGGCTTTAGCACAGCAGGTTAACCACCAGCTGCAGTAAAAATGAGGA